ATTGACCACACGCATAAAAACTATTTATTATGTGCCTAAGACTCTGGGTTGACTGAAACATTTTTAGACTTGCATGCTTGTTCCTGGCCAAATAATTAAATAATTTATTTAGAATTTGAGTTGGCTATGAAATTAGGAAAATTATGGAAACAATTCTGTGTATCCTGAATTTGCTTTTGGGCAAAAGTCAGTCCGACCCGCAGTCATCCAGTCAACACCAACAGGCATTTTTTTAAGCTTCCCATAAACCCATTTTACAGTTCTTTTTTAATAAAAAAAAAAACGTGAGATTAACTTTTCAAAATTTTTCCTGCTGGACAGGAAGGAGCTTGATAGGCAAATGATATGTTCCTCATCCTAAACCTTTAACGTTAAACCTTTTAACTGGAATACTTGACATCACTTGTTCATGCGGAAGCCTTTACAGTTGTGCCTTCTGAAGAAATAAAGAAAATACAGGCATGTCACTACTTGCCCTCGACTGTTTCATTTGTACTTCTGTGGTACTGACAATTTCAACTAGTACATTGAGGTCTAGACGGGATGTAACAAATCTAAATTATGCATTTAGCTTTGTATTTACATGAACTTTAAGTCCCAGAAATGGGTGGATTTCCCCAGCCTCTGGCTTAAATGTGCCACCAATTTTAACTTGACAATATGTTTATTGTTCTAGAGCCACATAAGCCTGACAGAACTCTGGGACTTTAAGGTCAATCAATAATCTCACAAAAATAGTCCTAATTTTTTTACATGTCTTACTTTTACATCAAGTAAAATTACTGACTGATCACTAAAAGCTATCTCTGTTCAAAAACATTGAAAATCTATGAAATGTAAAAGTGTTTAGCATTTAGACTGGATGATTAATAGCCAATATGTGTTCAATTTTAAACCAACATTCAACAAAACAATCCATTTTTACATAATCGACAAATCTGCCCTTTATTTGGTCTTTGCTGTGAGACAACTGTGATGCATGTGCGACTGCTGCTGCAGAGGCCCACGTGGGCACTTCCTGTGAAAAACATGGGAACTGTGATGGTTTCATATTGCCATCTTAGAAGCATACAGTAGGCTGAGTGTGTAACAGCGACATTTTTCTGATTTGAATAATATGGTTAATTAGTCCTCTTTGTTCTGTGGAAACACAAGGCTAGATTCTACCAGAGAATTTCAAAACAATAAGTCAGTATGCTGTCATTGGGCTTCCACAGAATATTACACCGATTTAAAGCCCCGAGGGTGGTGATATGCTGAGTAAATCAAAACATGTATGCAAAAAAACTATTCACACTGCTTGAACCTTTTCACATTTCGTCCCATTATATCAATGTGTTGCTACTGGGATTTCATGTGGTTTACAAAGTTTTGCAAAGTTGTTAAGTGAGAGGAATACTAGACATGGTTTATTTTTAGTTTGTACAGATAAACATTCTGAAAGTGTGGTATGTATTTCTTTCCTGTATTCTTTACTTTTTGTTACCTCTACATAAAACTAATATACACTAACTGCTTTTCTCTGAAGTCCTGAGAGAGTTTAAGAATAAAATTCCTAAATTAACAGCATCCACTCATGAATAAATAAACTAAACTTTGAACATGTAACAGTTTACTAATAAATCTATCATATGAAATGGCACATTGGCAAACATTGGCCTGACCTGACAAACTGGGCAAGACAAAAAAGAGAAAGCAGAGAAAATGTGCTCGATAACTCAGCAAGAGCTGCTGAAAGAAATTGGTAATGTTGGAGAATCCATTCACACTATAATGTGCCTTTATATAACAGTGCTAGAGAAGTGTTTCATTGTTAAAAGTCTTTAGAAGGACATTTTATAGCTTGGAACAAACTATGTAGAAGCAAAGAAAAGCATATGTTAGCAATTAGCAAGTTTGAGGTATTTTATTCAGACTCTATTTGCAAAGCTCTTACAGTTCTAACCCAAACTTTTTTTTTGTCGTAATATGTGCTGTGAAAGATTGTACAGGATATTCAATCAATCAATCAATCAACCAATCAATCAAGTCTAAACATAAATACACACCACACTTTTCAATATGGAGATAATGTAGATTTCTCTTTGCACCCCTGAAGTTTGAATGAAGGTATAGTGGAGGATTTTCTTTTTCCAGGTGGATCATCTAAATACTGTAAGTGTTCCTCCTAATTGTCAATCATTCCGGTGATATGTTTACATAAGGTTGTCCTACGTGCTCGGCTCATTAGCTATATTTTTTTGCGCATGTGCACTTTCAGGTGTATATGTGTGGAGAGCTAAGGTTTCAGACGGTCATTGAAGCTCACCTGTCTTACCGCGGTTCTTTGAAAATGGCCGAGAGTCGTAAGAGAAAACGTGTCTACGAAGTGTATGAGAATAAAAGAAAGGCCTCAGAAGAGGCAGATATATCCTGGAATGCTTTGCATGGAGAGCTCTCCTCACAAAACATTATGGGATTAGTTGACACAGCGGCCCACTGTCGCCATAGGCTTTCGATAGTCAACAGCGGCGACTAACAACAAAGATGACGCAGGCACCGCGCGGTGGAAGTAGAGTTACTTGACCAATGGGGAGCAAAAAGTAGTGATCATCTGTCCGATTGAGGGATTTTGTCATTAGAGTGGATGTTCGGAGAAATGGACCCGTGCATGCTCTCGCACACGTTTAATATGTGTTTCCTCTCGGGAGCAGATACATGGTTGTGCATGTGCATTTTTTTTAAAGTGCGAAAATCCTCCACTATACCTTTTAATTTGCAGTGGTTTGTCATATAAAGTCATGGTAAAATACAATTACATTTGTGGTTGTATGAGTGCTCTGCTCAAGTGTGCTGCTCCAACCACTAGGCTAACACTCCCCCACAGAAGTTATACAAAGATAACAAAGATCTTGGCCATCAGGGTGGATGAGCATTTCAGAGGCACTGCTGGATTTTTGCAAGATTTTTTTAAGATATCTTTAAAGCACTGCAGTGCAACTCTTTATCTTGTTTAAACCAATCTAATAAAAAATCTGAAGCAAACATGTACAACTGAATGGCTCATGTTTGTTTTTTTCGTTTTAGTTTTCTTAACTGCTCTTAATCTTACTCTGAATTTTGCAGAACTGGAGCATTGGACATAATTGCAATTTAAGGTTGCATTCTATAAACATACTGCTTTGCAACATTTTTCCGAGTAAATCATATTATGGGATACTTCATGTGAAGAGAAACCAAATGATTTACAAAACTGAGACGTAAGGCCTTGTTCCCTGTATTAATTCTTTTTATAAGGGTTTTTGCTGATTTCGCCTTTCTATCTTTAACGTCTGACAGTAAATGTTAATATGTTACTTTGTGCAATCTTATGTAATGCAGTCGTAAAAGGATACTACAAAAGTATCAGTTGGTTAGAAAATGAAACAACATAGTTTACAAGACAAAAGAGAAAATATTTAACCCAGACTGATTTATTTATCTGATAAAAACAGGCTTTGCTGTAAAACGCTGTAAAAAGTAAATTGTCTTTTTAAGGTCAGATAAACAAAATGGGTTTTTTGCTGCAAGCATTTAGCAGAGATCAGTCATACGACCTACAGCCCTTACTTTGACAACACATTTTAATAAACGTTAAGGAAACATGGGGAAAACGAACATCAGGAAACTTTTAAAAACTCAAAGATAATAAAAAATTAACTGCAAATCTCAGCGTGAAAGAACTTGACTTAATAAATTCCAGGAACAGTTCCCCTGTTGGCTCCTTGGTCTGCTCGCACAGCGCTAAGAATACTTCCCCAGTTCACTGTGCTGCAGCTTGTCTTGCATGATAGTACATATTGTTCCATGGAAGTGAGCAGCTATGCAGCCTCATCACTCCTTAGGTTGTATAATAGCGATACAGCCCGCTGGGTGTCTATGTTCCCAAAGACCAACATGTTTGTTTGCATATTTTTGAAGTGTGCTGGATTTTTGTAGGGGACATTCTGAGAAGAAGAGTACTGCTATCATACATATAGGTTACTATCAGATTGCCGTGTCATTACACTTGTATGAGCATGTCAGGTCACACCAGCACCTACAAAGAAACCAATGAGTCACACAAGAACAAAGGTCCCGCCTTCCACTTCTTTAGAAAACTAGACTATAATCTGAAAGTTCTTCAGTATTTTGACAGATCAGCTTCTTTGGTAAGGAAGGACTATTTTATTTTTAGAAGGGAGACCCATTTAAGCTAATAGATTCCCAGGAGGAAATTAAAAATTAAAAAGGAAGGTGAAAGATCTTGATCTATTTAGTTGTATGAACACAGGTGTTTGTCTAACGTCTTCAGAACCACAGTGGTGCTCCCTCTGGGTTAAAGGTAGCGCTTCATTTAATTGAGGGGGAAATCCTAAACTAAAAAAAAAAATAAACTTGTGCCATAACCTGTGAGAAAATCTTAACTGAAAATTATGTGAATGAGTTGCAGGTTGTCCTGAGACTCTTATAGTAAGTAATGAGGTGTAATACCCAAGCTGCATGGTACAAACAGAAAGAAAAGAATCAAAACAGGAAAAAATCGACTTCGCCTCCTGCTGCTGTGGTCACCCTTGAGTGGTATCTATATGTAATTTTTTGATCCTTCATAGAATAAAGCAAAGATTAAAAAATAAATAAATAAAATAAAATATATAAACCCTAAATTAAAGTAAGCTTCCTGTTTTTTTGTACTTTTAGTAAAATCTGTAAAAATGTCAAAACCACATTTGTCTTGTCTTCTTTCATCCAGCTAACTGGCAGGGTGTAGGCAAAGGGGAAGAAGGGAACTAGTGAACAAATAAAAATGTCAGCCTATTCATCTTTCTTTTATAAAATGTATTTTATCTGCAGAAAGAGTATTATATAGTGATTTGAAACCTCTAACCACCCATGACCTCCATCTGATAGCATCCCTTATTTCTTGTGATTTTGGAAGCAGCAAAGAACATACACCATACAAGAGCTCATTTTATGGAAAATACAACTTTTATTATAAATTAATTATTGAAACAAATATAAATAAGTGCAAAGTTATATTCATCTGCTTGCTTTGTCAAACTTCTCAGATATCTTCAAGCATCCACAGCCAGGCATATGGCTGGTAAAAATACATCTTTATAAAAGATAGCACACACACACACAATCACAGACAAAACCAGAAAAATAAAAAAATAATAATAATAATTCTATAATGTAAACATGGTATACAGAAAAGTAAATACTTGATCTACTCTCCTTATAGATAGAAAAGATACCCAATGTTTTAATTTGTCTGCAGGCGCTGAATATGTTGCCTGCGCCACAAAAGAAAACCCAGATCTATTGGAAAGGAGTCGTTCATCACTGAAGCATGATAACTACTACTCTCTGTAAGATCCTGTTGGATTCAGTCGTTTTCCAACATGCTTTCATGTTGTTCTGGCAATTTTGGCATTATTCTCATCTTCTTAATCAACACACATCCCTCCCAAGAACCTTTCTTTCAACCCTGACCCAAACCCACAAGTGTCCAGACTATCTGTACTCTTATGCTTCCAATGACTGAGAACATCAAGCTGGAAACAACATTCATAAACCATTTCCACAGGCTTGTGTGCGTGATCTCATCAGTCTATCAGGATGCTGATTAGCATCAGCAGCAAAGGGAACAGTGTGTCATCACACTGTAGACAGCTGACTGTTAGCCTCACTTCAGTTCTTAGTTAGTTGAACGTCATCAGTGAAGCTGAGGAGGTTGGTATGGCTCATCTCTGTTTTCAGATCACCAGATTCCAAAGCTGCTTTTCTCAGTCTCCTTATCCTTTCTCCGAAGTTTAAGAGACTCTTACACTTTGATTCTCTCCTCTGGGACTGATTCAGTCGTTTCTGCTACATCCTTCATGGGTTTCCCCCCATAGATGTGCTGGCAGCATCTAGTTTTCATTGACATCAGTCTTTGCCTATCTAGATATCAACCTCGTATTTATCAAGGTACTCTTGAACTTTGTTAGGAAGCTGGTCTCTTTGAGAAGAAATGTCCAATTCTTTATTAATTGTCTTCCTACAAAGGTGTTGCAAGGTTGACATGGAGAAATACAGTGGCTTGATGAGCTCAAGAGGGATCCTCTCCCCTCCAGCGCTGATATAGTAGACAATACTGGCTTTCCTTTGACAGATGTAGTAATTGATCAGCTTCAGAACGCAGTCAAAGTGGGGGACACTGTCCACATTCTTGGGATCAGTCTGCAGAAAAAAAGATTTCTCATCACATTGTATGCGCAGGTTTTTAGTGCCTGTCTCTGTCTTGACGCTGAGGGTGAAGAGGTGCTGGTGGTCGGAGCTTTCCCGAATCAGAAAGGTACCAGGTCTGTGGGGGGACAGGAGAACACTGGCCTGTTTCCCAGTCATGGTGCTCCAGAAAAAGTCACTCTCTCTGAGTTTCTGTAGTGTCTTCACAACCATCAAAAACTGTTCCTCCGAGACAAAGGTCTTGAAGTGGTAACCCATCCCCATCTTGGTACTCGAGAGGCAGTTACCGACAGCTGAGTCAGTCTTGCTGTAAGTTACCATCTCACAGAGGGCGGTTGCTGGATATGGTATGTAGAAGTATGAAAAACCTGAAGAGGAAAAAAAGAATTTGTTTAGTAATGACAAATATAGAAATCTGCAACTAACAGCTCTGTAGGAAACTTTTTTTTTCCATCAAACCGATGCCTAATGAGAAATACATATTATACCTAAGCTGAGAGAAAATAATCTATCAGATTTTTAGAGATTTCAGGGAAATCTTCAGGACATGAGCCATCTTGGTCAGTTCCAGGAAAGTCAACTTATTCCCTCATTGCGCAATTTGCATGCCACAACCGGCTTCTCTAAACCCTTAAACCCGGTCAGGTAAAACAGCCAAAAAAATAATATAAAGTCTGCTTTGAATCAAAATCCAGAGTCCAAAAAAAAGGAGGATTCTTACCTTAAATGGCTCACTGAGAGTCCTTTATTCAGTTTAAATCCGAGAGATGTGGTAGATGTTCTGCACTCAGTTGGCTTGTGCTTGAAAAGTTCCTTTGAAGTTGTTCTTTTTTTAGTGGAGTGAGATCCAACAAGCTGAGGCAGCTGTACCGTGTGAAGCTTTAGTGTGCAGAGAGCAGAATGGAGCAGGAAGGTGCAGAGGGTGCTATTCATAATGCAGAAGAAAGCTCCGCCTCCCCTTCCAGTAAACTCCTCCTGGCAGATTGACAGTAACCTTTTTTTTTCTCTCTTTTAGGATTCCAGCTCTGAGAAGTGCCCTCCCCTTTCATTACGATCAGCCTGCTGAATTCATCTAAATCAAGCATGTTAATGCAGAGAAACATGTAAAAACCTACTGACAAGTGGACCTAAAAGATCAGGGTTGAAAAACACAGCTTTATGGCAAGTTACCCTAAAAAATGTGTTTTGTGTGTGTGTGTTTGGGGGAGGGGGTGTTAATGACAGATCATTATTTAAAGTTTCATTAAATTTTATCTAAATTATTTAGTTAAATTAAAGAACAAAAAGGTAATGTCTTTATATGGTTGTTTAATTATTTTTTGTTATCATTTTTGTTTTAAGTTATCTTTATCTTCAGGGTGAGGTAATGATTCACTAGTGTTCAGGACACTAATCAGTTTCTGAGAAATTCCTGGTAACTCGAGGTCACACCACCTGCTGAAAAGAATGTGCTCCCTAGAGGGCGCCAGACAGGAATAAATAACACCAGCTGGTATCCAAGGGCAGAGAGGGTTGTTGTTTACACAGTGTTGCCAGGGTTCCTTTATTTGGACATATCCATTAACTGGAACATTGAGCTGTTCTGAAATTCAAATAGAAATGGTAACAGAGATCTGATTTCCTACATTATTACAAAAAACATGTTTCTGCGTGTGCAGTAACACACATTTATAGTATAAACATGACTTGTAAGTGATGTGAATAGCATTGTTTATTTCTTAGAAATGACGTTTGCTCAGAAAAATGTTTTAGCTGTAAAGCAGCAAGTGAACATTATGTCCCTAAACTGGCACTGGGGTAGGTCTTCTGATCCGTGCATGTTTATGTGCTTTACAAGAGTTTTAAGTTTAGACTAGAATAGACACAATTTTGCATTAAGATCTTTGTCACAGTCATCTCTTAAAATATATGAAAACCAGTGAAGAAGGACTAATAATTTTCTTGTGTTTTTAATTGATAACAAATTTCATGTTTAAAAAAGTATTTTTGCTACTATGCAATTCATTATGGCTGGGCATCAAAACTTTGATGAGTTCACAAAATAACTTTAAACCCATGTTTCCAAAAGTAGAAATAATCACCAACTAATACAAATTTGAAGTGTCAGTTCAAGGTGTATATATATAATAAGTACAAAGGTTGAGCTTTATTTAAATTTCAAAAGAACTAAAAATGTCCCAGTTTTTAAACCTCCTGAGGGAAATTGTAATTTTAGGATTCTTTTTAAGGTCTCTACTTTGTTTTGATTGACTTAGTAAATGGCACTCTTCCTTTATTTGTCAATAAAAGGTTAAGAAATGAAGTCTTTTCTTTCTACTATTACTGGAATTCTTGCAAAACGTGAGTCAGAGTACAGCAAGCTGTTATAAAATGTGTCTTTTAAATTACTCTTCAATTCTGAAGTTTTGGGAATCTCCTCCCTTTCTGATAACCTCAGTTTGAGTACTGACATCAATCTGTCGGCAAAACTACATTTTACGTAATTTCCTCTCTTTTTTGTTCCCTCTGAACGTAGTCAGGTTTTTTTTTTAAGCATGCCTTTCTTTGTCTACGTAATTGTGACTGAAAGCATGCTCATTCCATCCCTTCCAACTCCCATCCTGCTGACTCAGCCATGACAGCCTCAGTTGGTGAGCGTAAAACAGATCAGCCTGCCGTCTGTTGTGTTCTTTAATCAAAACTTAATAGATCGCTTTGGGAAAGCCTGAAACTTCCCATCACAAAGAAAGGAAAACAATCTTTAGAGTGTTTCTATCATGAAACCTAGTGGGAGAAGGCTAGGAAACACCTGATGTGCTTTGTTGGTGGGCACCAGCTGTGCCGACAGGGGTGAGTCAGGTGTTCAGACCCCTGATGGGTGATGGAAGGGGAGGGAAGTGAGCTATGATAATCTGCTAACAGCTCACTTGTTTCCAGAAAATCCACTGTGTCATCAATGTGAGAAATCCATTTAGCAAAGGCCTCCCTCTGGATTTATAGTTGGAGTCAATGGGAAAAGGAGTGGCTAGCTTACTTGAGCTGGGTAAAGGAATCTCATATGCAATATTTAGCCCATCACATGGTATCAGAAACCACTATAGATTGTATTACAGTATGCCATCTTGAGCCGTAGTACACACTGTTCTGTAACCTATGCTTTTTGCTGACTCTGGGTGGATCGAAGAGAAATGTTTTGTGTTAAGGACTGATAACCTTTAGGTTCTTGAGCTGTCAGCCAATACTTGCGAATGTGAGTGTATGTTACAGTATGTTGACGGAATACACGGCATCTCCAAATCTTCCCCCCGCATTCAGGTTTGTATTGTTTTCAGTCGTGGCAACAGGATTTTTGTCTAAACTAGGGCTTGCACGATAGATTGCTGGTGTAAACCACAGTTTGCTGGAAAAGACAGCTGTTTACGATTTCCCATATACTGACTCAGAATTTACCCTTGAAAATGATTCCCGCAACCCATTTGGAATGATAGACCAAAGCAGGAAAGAGCAATGACCAACACAAAAATGTTGCCCACCCAAATATTTCTTAACTGGATGGTCAAACAGAAGTGGAAATTTTGTGGTTCTGACCAAAGTGGCGGCGTTTAAGCAGCTTATGATGGAAATTTTGCATTTGATCAATGTCAACGGTATATAGATATAAATTATGTTTGTTGGGGTATATTTGGAGGAAAGTTTTTTCTTTTAAAAGACTTCAGAGGAAACAGAGTGCTGTTCATGTTAAACAGATCTGTAATTAGAACAGTAGAACTGTCACTGAGCTGATGTGAGCCAGGAACTTCCTGGTATATCATTCAATCGAATTCCTGTTAACTCTCTTTGATTACCATACTTTGTAGACCTTCCTGCTTTTACCTGTAGACTTTCTCTGCACAGCGTTTCTCATTCACGATTGCATCAATGTGAAACTTCCTTGTTTAACAAACAGACCACTTCTGCCAGTCAAAGAGGATTTCCTGATAAGGGTTCGTCTTACTGTATTTCTCTCTTTCTTCCGGTTTCTGAATGCCTCGATATTCTGGTTTGTGTTTTGCTTTCTTCTCTTTGCACAGATATTTATTTAATTCTTTTTCAATAAGATGCTCTTTATCACTCCAAGTATTAATTAAACCTAAATGTCTCTTTCAAGCAGCATCAGAGCAAAATGCTGCAACAGTAATCTTAAATCAAAGAATAACTCTGATAAGTCAATGAAAATATATAACTTTAAAAATATTTTTTTATTTTCAGAGAATTATCAATCTGTATACTACTATATGACATTAAAGGTACATAGTCAGACAGATACATGCATATAAATAGGCATAAGGAAGAAAACTACTAAAAGGTCACAATCACTTTATTCCAACTTTGTCATTATTTTTCTTTTTTTATTTGTTCTTGAATTTGGTCACACCGAGCCATGTTTTCATTAGCTTTTAACACACACAGTGTTTGCCATTCCTCTCACATATCATGCAGCATCTATTTGTGGCTGCAACAGCTGTCTTCTGGGAAATGCCAAAAGCAGAAGAGAGAGCAATTTAACTTTTGCTCTTTGGAGCCACATAATTATCACAGAAACAAGCATTTTACATGAAGGGATTTGAGAAAATTTTTCTCAAAGGGTTTTTTTTTTTTCCCAAGTTTTGATAAAATTCCCCAATGTATAAAGCTGTCAGCTGCTGAATATCTATAAACAAGTTGAAGAAATATTTTATGAGGGTATTTTGTGAGTGTTATTTCCATATTTTCTGTGTTACTTTTCTTTGTTAGTGTAGTTTTGCCAAACATTTTAACTGCAGGCGCGTTTCTCTTGAGCTAAATTGCCTCTCATAAAAGTCTGTTTTTGAGGATTGGTTCTTGTCCTGCTCTTGTTAAATGTTGCTTTAGCAAGGCTTGTAATTTCAATGTGTTTGAATTAAGTAAGAACACAATAAGATGGAAGTAAAAATGGAAACAGTTGTGTTTCTGTGTTAACATTTTAGCTCTATTGGGTATAAACTTTAGCTGGAGCGATTAATAAGTCTGATTGAAAGTATTCATTTTTAAATATTGGCTTGAATTTCTCAAGATGTTTATATCTGCCTTACATATGTTTCATAAAGAGGTCAGGCACTATTTTATTCTTGTTTTGTTGGCCACATGCAGAACAATATTTCTTGGAAACCGATTATATGACACTGACAAAGAAATAAGTTCAAGTAATGTAGTTCTGGGCTTGTCACATACTTTGTCAATATTTCCCAATAGACAACATTATGTTCCGCACATGACGGCAGTTCTGACAGGAAAGTTGAGTTCACATGCCACCGTATTTACAGAGAATCCTAGTAAAAAAAGCTTTCATTTCAACTTTATGATTAAGGAAATTAAAGAGAATCTTAGCTCTTGAGAGAGCTGTTAAAGTGAGAAAATGTTAAAAGTAGTGAGGAGGAATTTGAGTATGTCAAAGTATCTTAAGCCGAGAAGATGATAAAATTGAGAAAGTTGTTTGCCTGATCTATCTCATAAATAGTGGAAGAAATAAGCACATAAACCATGGCAAGCATCATTACTAATATGGAGGTCAATCTAAAATAATCCCACTGTACTAAAAGTAAAATGATAATGAGCACATAATCTGTATAATCCAACTAAATACCTGAAGACAAACTACATTTTCACGAAGCTCTTACTAAAAAATGTGCACACCTATTTATTCATGTGTTATATCCGCATTATATTTGTTGAGCAGTTGTCCTTTATTTCTAACCACATAGAAAACTCCTAAAAGCCTGCAGAGACACATGAATTTCCCTTCTTCTTCACAGATATACAAAAACTAATTCTTGAAAAGCATGAATTCTGTAGTTGTCATCCCAAAGTTAATATTTTGATTTGAATACTTAATGTCAGGGTCCCGCCCATAGACAGATGGAGATAGACAACAGCACCCCTCCTGACCCCAT